GTAAGCCCGCAGACCCCCGTGTGTGGAGTGGCTGGGGATCCGCGGGCGCCGAGCGGACTGAGGTGGAGGTGTCCTGTTACTGATTCAAACACTGGGGGCTTTGCCATCAGCAGTGGGACCCTCTGAAATGGAGAGTGGCTCTTGAGGTTCTGAAAAACTCAGTGTTTTTATATCCTTGCCAATTACCTTGTTTTATACGTAAAACAAGTTCTACGCTCTGATGATTATAAACATTTTCCACTTAATGGTCCAAGGCAACATTCAGAAGTTGTGAGAACATGATTATTTTCTGTGTGGAACTCCCCGCACATCCCAGGGCTGCTGGCCTCTTCCCCCGATCCCTGTGGCAGGCACAAATACTCCCGTTTTCCTACATATACCTTCAGACCCCCACGTGACTCCTTTTCCCTCTCCCCACCCACAGGAGGACCCTCTGCCTAGCGTTTGCTGAGTTGACTAGCCTGTGAAATGGCTTTGAAAAAATTCTCAAAGCATCTCTGTTGTCTTTTACTGTTATGAAGGTATTGCTGTTAGAGGACTTTTTTGTTGACAAGTAAACATGTAGGAGCTATGAATATTTTAATGGGGAAAAGAATGTTGGGAATACTTTTTGAGGGATGAGCTCAAGGATCTGGAAAGGGTCAGCTGGAGCAGCGGGGTGTCACGGCGGCTAGCATGGCGGGGGTGGGGGACGGGGCGGCTCTGCTCAGCCCCTCCGGGTCACTGTGCGCCCTCTGTTTTGCAGTGTTTGTAGGCTATCTGTGCATCGTGCTGCTCATGCTGCTGCTGCTCATCTTCTGGATCGCGCCGGCCCACGGGCCCACCAACATCATGGTCTACATTAGCATCTGCTCCTTGCTGGGGAGCTTCACCGTGCCTTCCACCAAGGGCATTGGGCTGGCGGCGCAAGACATCTTCCACAACAACCCGTCCAGTCAGCGGGCCCTCTGCCTGTGCCTGGTGCTCCTGGCCGTGCTCGGCTGCAGCATCATCGTCCAGTTCAGGTACATCAACAAGGCGCTCGAATGCTTCGACTCCTCCGTGTTCGGGGCCATCTACTACGTCGTGTTCACCACGCTGGTCTTGCTGGCCTCGGCCATCCTCTTCCGGGAGTGGAGCAACGTGGGCCTGGTGGACTTCTTGGGCATGGCCTGCGGGTTCACCACCGTCTCCGTCGGGATTGTCCTCATACAGGTGTTCAAAGAGTTCAACTTCAACCTGGGGGAGATGAACAAATCTAACGTGAAAACAGACTAGGCTGCAGCAGGGGATTGGATGGCTTGAGGAACAGGAAACGGATGTGGTTTCTGGTCCTGGTTTGATGTAAAGTGGAAGAGACCGTGAATCGCTGGTGTTAGAGTTGCCTGTACACTGGTGGGTGGGCTGCTGGAGAGTGAAGCCATGTTGCTCAGCACCAGGGTGGGGGCCTGGCCCTCCGCACGCTGGAGTTGCTCGGTGGTTGCCTGGGCCCCATCTCTCTGATGAGAGGAATCTCACGTTCATTGCCATTAACCTGGAAGCTTTCATGAATACTCTTTGCTTTGAAAACATTTCAACATTATTTAAGTAGAAAATAAAGATGGGCCTTTTCTGGTTAGTCTTTGCAGGGGAGCAGATACTCTTACTTAGAATCTTACTTTGGAAATGGGAGAAATTGTTGTCTTGAAGTCTGACTTTACAGCAAATGTGTCTGTAGTTCTGGTATTTCGTGTTAAGCATGTATAATTTTCAGGTACCTCATTCAAATAAGAGGTGCGTGCATTTGTTTTTAATCCTCTAATGAGCTGACTCTCCTAGCCACCCCCACTTCAAGGCATTTTAATTGCAAATAGAGAAGAATGAATGGACAAGATGGAGTTGTTCCATTTGCAGGATGATTTCAATAGCTCAGATCAATTTCAGTGCCTTTTACCACTTGAACTATTCACTTAATTTGACTATTCCTGTGTGTCTGTTCTCTTAGATTGGAATACTGCAGCCTCCTTGATTATACTTTTACTATTTCACTGTTCAAAATATCAATGCTCAAGGCAGTTAGGAATAATAGTATATTCATTCATTGGAAGAGAGTCCAGACTAAAGACTCATTCGCGTAAATTGACCCTTTCAGCATGTAGTGATCGCCCAGTTAAAGAGAGTTGACTTAGGGAGCGTGAGGTATTTAATTTGTATTCAGTCTAATGTAACTGGGATCCAGTATTAAATATATCCGTGTTCTCTTTCAGCAAGCATTGTGGCCACTCAGAAGAAATAAATTATTTACCTTGATAGTAAGGCTGTTAAAGGAGAGAGTAAGTGTTCAGGAGCACATATGAGTTCCCTGTAACTCAGGAATAAGTTAAAGGCAAAATGAAGCTTAGATCAGTTTCTACAAATTGGAACACATAGAGTTTTCAGAAGAATTTCTAGCAAAAATGAAGACAATTAATTTAGCCACCTCCCTGTTGTTTGAGATGACAGAGCACCCTACAGTTCCTCACCCAACCTCTCACTAAACTTCTGAAGTGCAAAATTCACCATTAATTAACTAATCCAGTATATGGATCAAATAGGCCATTTGTCTGTCTGTATTACCCTACCATGTGTATTAAATGGGAACAAAGCACAGAGTGGTTCAGATGTTTCATCGAGATATCACGTACTTCATGTGCAATGTTGTCTCTAATTAGGGAACTATGCCAGGTTGAAAGGTGAGATTGGCTAAGGTGGATCTGGTGAAGTAAAACATGAAATTTAGTAACACCCAATTAAAGTGACTAAGTGATGTCAATAGGAGAAAATGTGTTTTTCAGACAGAAAGAATATTTCTAAAGACCCAAGGAGTAGTTCCCTAAAGTGTGGAACAAGGAGGCTAAATAAAATGAGGATAGTTTAACACAGAGCAAAAAACACCTTTATGAATTAAAAGTACTTATGATGATCATGGGTTGTGAGTTATGAGCTAAGAGCAGCAACAAGATTATTTTAAAATTAAAAAAAATTACAGTAACTGATATTAACAAATGCTCAAAAAACTCATTACTCTTTTTGTCAACTCTTGAAGGTTTGTTTTTTATCAGTATTTTTAGGAATGACGGCTTAAATTTATTGAACTGAACTTCCTGAAAATATAATGTAGCAGTATCAATATACTTTTAGGCATTAAAATAGTTTTCTAGGTAAGGAGTCTGAGATATTCAAAGAACACATGTGGCCGTACAAGTAAAATGAGAAAGTTCCCGTGTCATATGGAAATTACCATTTTGGGGGATACAACTTACATGTGAAGCTTATTTTATTTAAATGCATCTATTGGTGTTCTTACTACGGCTAATCCATGATTATACTGCAGATACTTAGAGGTGAGGTTTTCCAGATTACCTCCCTGTGATTTTTTTAGAGTAAAACAAAATCTCGATGTATTAATAGCCTGTCTCCTCTTGAAGGTGATGTGTCCCCAGGACAGTTTGACTCTCCCAAGTTTACATCTGTTCAGCAAGTTATTCTGGGGGTGATACCCAGCTTTTCTTCCAGTGGAACAATGTTCAGATCATCCATTATATTCCAAATGCATGACTCTCGCCTCAAAGCAATTGACACGATCAGCAGTCTAACCGCCTCATTTTCAAGTTTAACATAGAACAAATTACTTCTGACTTAATAGTATTTATTTTACTAATTCATGTTCTTTTAATAATTTATTTGGAATTGCAAAAAATAAAAAAATAAAAGCTTCAAAAGGGAAGGCCCAGAATGGGGATAGGTGGTATACTGGTCTTTCCAAAAGTAAATACATATAAAACATTTGCATTATTAGGCCGTTCTTTGCATCTTATCTTTGATAAAACTAAGGGGAAAATGCCTGCTGTCTGCTTGTTTTCAGGCCTCCTCTAAAACCATGTTTGTGATCACAACTTACAGATTTACTCTGGAGAGATACTTAAATAGGCCATTTCTCTCCTCTCCTGCTTGGAAAATGCCTCGTCTTCTCATCTAAATCTTTGCATTTAAAACAATTGCTTCCTGTTCTGCTCAGTAATCAAGTGTAGGACCTATTCAGGATTCTAACCCAAACGCAGCCCCAAGCCCAGCCTGGGTGTTTGCTGTGTGGAAGGACTGCTCCATCTCTGCCGAGAAGGCTCTGGAGAGGAAGGGCAGGGTGCTCCCTGCCGCCTGGAGGGCAAGACCTGCCCACAGCTGGGACTCGAGGGAGGAATCATCACTCAGATGTCACTGTGGTCTTCTCACATTAGAGTGTTTGTGAAACACACTTCGCCGCTCTTGGTTCAGCAATAAGAAATATTCTTTCAAGTCCTCCTTTTCAAGCCAGTTTGTTACATGCAGTTTTATTTCCAGAAGTTCATTCCAGCGGGAGTAATTCTGTCTTTGGATTTTTTTCTTTGGGTTTCGTGTCTGATCGAGAAAGCACTACTAAAGTGTGCAGTCACCTGTCACCTCCCTTCTTCCTCAACCGCTCAGCTCTTTGTAAATTCTGTGCTTACTTCCAGAGGCCAGTTCCTAGACATCCGTAAAGCGCTTGAGATGTGCTGTCTCCGGGCGTGGACGGGCACTGCCGTCCACGGGGACAGGTGTTGCTCACAGGCCACTGCCAGGCTGCCAGGTTCTTGTTGGGAGATGAGTCCTCTCCTCTCTAAGCTGCTCAGCTGATGCAGAAGTCTGCAGCGCTAAGCCCATCGCTCTTCTTTGATGCCTGCTTGATCCTGACTTAGGCTTCCTGCAACTGTGTAGGAACCTAGGAAGAGAAGACGCTTCAGTTTAGATCTGTTCATGACTGTCTCGTTGGCTCCGGTGGCCTGGAAAAGTTGTCCTTACCGTGGCTGACATCAAGGGAGTAGTTCACCCATCAAGCAGGGTTAGATGGAATCTTGGTGTTCCACCTTCTCAGGGACCAAAACCGTAACATGAACTTAGCATTCACCTTCCTCCCAAGGACGTGTCTGTGTGAGTTTTTCGTATGTTTTCCTCATATTCATAGCTAGAGGTCTGTTAACTTGAGTTGGAAAGAGAAAAAAAAATCAGTTTGCGCACCAGTCACACCATAAAAGAGTTTATCATATAAAATACCTCAACTTTCTGTATTCCTTACTTCCACCTCAAAAGTTGTACTGGTGATGAATTTTAAGGGTCTGTCCTTTAGTTTATAGGTGATTTTTCACATCTGGCCAGATTCTTATACCTCCATCATATACTTGAAAAGATTAAGAATTATAGGAATGGAAACAAGAATTTGGCCCAGTATCACCAACGCATTTATTTTCATACACGTTTCTCACACACTGTTAATTGCAACAAAATAATTATATTTTAAGAAAATGTAACTTTGTGTTACATCAAAAAAAATGTTGTCTAGTAGAAAGTTGATATTCAGTGTAACAGATCACGTAAATAAACATTATTTTAAATGTACCTAATGTGATTAAAAAAAAAAAAAGCTTAGTCTAGGGCCTAGAGCATGAGCCAGGGAGAAGGATTTGTTTGTTTTTTTCTGTATTTTTTCTTGAATTTTGCAACTATAGGTGAGTCACTTAACCTTTCTGTGCCTCAGTTTCTCTACCTCTAAAGGGGTGGTGTGGTCCTCCAGATCTACTGTTTTAAAGCACACGCCGGTTAGCGTGTGCGTGCTGGGAGCCTCAGACCAGAGCGCCGTGGGCAGGGATGCTCTGGAGGGACGCACTGAGCATCCTGTCTGCTCAGACCGTGCTGCAGACATGCAGCTTCAAGCACTGAGTAAGCAAAGGAAGCACTGGGTATAAAGTTTGCATGATTTCATGAAGCTTTAATTTCCCTTTTTTGTTGTTTTAAAAGGAAGGGTTTTATATATTCCGTTGTAAAATATGGAAATTAAACAGGGACTTAAAAAAGCTGCACTGAAAGATCACATTCTGATGGTGTGATGAGCTTCTCTGACACTCTGCATAGGTTTATGTTCTGCTGAAGATTCAATGACCCGTGAACCAGATTGATTCTGTTGTGTTGAATTTATGATAAATGACGCCGAACTTCCTGCTTCCAAGCGGCTCAGCCCTGACCATGAAGCTACCTGATGCCAGGTGAATGTCAGGGTCTCCCAAACCACTAGTGCCAAAGGGTCACATTGAAAAGTTCAGAATATTTCTTTTATTTGTCAGACTATAATAATTTACCCCACCCTGTCACCCCCCATGTCAGTGTTTTTGCACTTTGGGAAAATTTGAGGCTACTGTTTTTCAGTAGCATTCCTGAGTGTTTTTGCCTTTTTACATGATAACTATTACTTTCTTGTAAAATGGAATATAATTGTGAAAGAAGAAGGCAAAAAAGGTAACGTGTTGACTGGTTACATAAAATTTTTTTCCTGTAAATGTATCAGGGGAGCTTCCAATTAGCATACACACACATTTGTCAATGACTAAGACTTGCTTATATTTTTGCTTTCTAGAAGTAATCATAGCATGTTGTAATTGCCTTATGTAAATAAAAAGGCTATTTATTAAGTTTTCCAATAATATTTATTAATCTGTATGTGTTTTAAAATAAAATAACTTATTTCTAGCTGAACACTCGTTGTGTTTTTAACCCTTTCCGTGAAATATTTGTGTGGTCTGACGTTCCACATCATCCTAATTCCTCAGTCAAACGTCTCCCACTTTCTTTGCAGGAACAAACAGCCCACGGCTCCACTGCAGTGTAGAAAATGTCCACCCTGTGCATCTTTTAGGGAGCAAATCCATGATGTGTGAAGGACTTCACCATCCAGTGGTTCCCTTCTGATGCAATGAAAGGATGGTGTTAAAGAAAATCAGCTATATTTTAATATGTTAATACCTGGTACATGTTTTTGAGGTATATAACATCTAACATTTGGAAAATTGTATTTTAACAGCTTTATTGAAGCATAATTGCTACACAAGGAACTGTGCATAATTAGCATGTACAATTTGATGAGTTTGGGCACATGTAAACATGGCTCCATCACCATTATCAAGGGAACAGACATAGACAACACCTTCCAAAGTTCCCTTGGCGGGGGTAGGGGGTCAGAACACTTAGTAAGCGATCTGTCCGCTTAGCAGATTTTGAAATGCACAACACTGTATTGGTAATTATACCGGCTATACATAACATTTTAAATTCATCGAAAATTTGAGAATCATAACACATTTTAATACTCCCAGTGTCATCAGAAATCTTGTCATTAATCTTTATTAGTGTCCTGTAAATAATTTTATTAAATGAAAAAAATATTTGAGCAGAAATATTTTCTCTTCAGGGCTATCCAAAAGGATTGAATTACTCACATTTTGATTACAGTATACCTGTACAGAAATCAGAAACAAACATTTTAAGAAAGCATCAATTGTCTCTGGATAATCCTTTCCACACAGTTTTTTGGGGTTGTGAAATGTGTAAGGACCAAATTCTACAAAAGCTTGCTGGAGTTGGTTACTACAATAAAATCATTAGCTGCTAGCCAAGCACAGTCCTGTTGAACCTGAGTTCTACACTTGGTGCTGAGGACTGCAGGCAATCAGGCACGCTGCCAGCTCTCTGCTTCCTCTGCTGATGGGTCACGCCTCTGTCAGGTGTCCCTTTGGCATGACATAGTCAGAATCTGTTGTGATGTTGATCACACCACATTTTGAACCTCATACGGTAGTTTCAAAAAGGCTTTTTGTGTTGGAAAGCTGAGACACAGTTAAAAAACAAAGAGAAATAATAAGATTCTTCTCTCCGTATTAGCAGTTCAGAGATGCGAGGTGTTAATTATTGGTAAGAGTTGGGATTGGAGGTGCACCACGCCAAGCAGGGTAGGAGAGATGCCAGCCAAGAAGCAAACGCAACAAATCCATGTAAAACAACAGAGAAGGGCCTGGAAGGTGGAGGAAAAGTCAAACTAGGTTGTCCATAAAATGGGATCTTTTTATTTTGGCTGAAGATGCCCGGGGGATGTCAGTGAGGTCCCTCCTTCCCCTGGCTCGGTGTGCTCGTTCACCGTGTTGGTTTTCTACTGCTGCTCTGACAAGTTACCACAAACGCTGTAGCTTACAACTACACAAATTTATTATCTCACAGTTGTGGGGGGCCGGAGTCCAGCACAAGTTGAACTGGGCTAAAGTCAGGATGTGGGCAGGATTACATTCCTTCCGGAAGCCCTAGAGGAAAATCTGTTCTCTGCCTTTTTCAGTGTCTAGAGGCCTGGCACAGTCTTTGGCTTGTTCCCCTTTCTCCATCTTCAAAGCCAACAGTGTTGCATCTCTCTGAGCCTTTTTTCATGGTCATATCTCATTCTCTGACTCTGACACTCCTATCTCCCTCTTACTAGGACCCTTGTGATCATTCTGAGCCCATTTGGATATTCCAAGATTATATTAACATCCTTAACTTAATATCCTTGCAAAGTCCTTTTTGCCTGCAAGGTAACATAGCCATAGGTTCTGAGGATGAAGACTGTGGATATCTTTGGGAGACCATTATTCTGTCTACCAGATCCACCCACCATTTCATCAAGTGAGGCAATTATTAAAAGCCAACTCCTACGGTTACCAGCAGGTAAAGGGGGTGGGAAGGGATAAATTGTGAATTAGAAATTTGCATCTCTTGGGGAGTGATGGAAATGGTAGCTTCTTTTTTTAAATTTATTTTTTACTTTTTTATTGAAGTATAGTTGATTACCATGTTTCAGTTGTACAGAAAAGTACATATATATGTATACATATATTCTTTAACAATTTTTTTATTGAGTTATAGTCATTTTACAATGTTGTGTCAAATTCCAGTGTAGAGCACAATTTTCAGTTATACAGAAATGTCAGCTATCTTGATCGTGGTGGTGGTTTCACGGGTGTGTATACCAAAATTCATTACATTGTACATATGAAATGTGTAGTGTACTGTGCAGGAATCATACAACAATAAAGGTGTTAAAAAAAAGCCAACTCCTGGCTTTTAATGCATATCCTAGTGTTCTACTTAATTCACTTCAAGTTATTACTGTCTTTCTCAAAGAGCTCCCCCCTCTCCCTCCAACAAATGTTTCAGAAAGTGCCCTGTTACATTTGTAGGTCATCTGTGACCTCAAATAAGCTTGGCTTTGGGACTGTTTTTATTTTTTGGCTATTATAAGTAAAGCCATTATTGAGTGCTCATTTACATTCACGTAACAGTCACTTACATGGTATATTTTAATGGCTATACACTTTCACTTCTCTTGGGTAAAAACACCTCGGAGTAGAACCGCTGGATTGTATGGTTGGTACATGTTTTAACTTTTTAAGAAATTGTGAAACTGTTTTACAAGGAGGTTGTAACATTTTACAATCCTACCAGCAGTGTATAAAAAGGCATTCAATTTTTAAAACTTTAAAAATATCTCATGATCCATATGGGGTGTAAAGCATCATGTGGTGGAGATGTGATTTGGGATTTTAAGGAGCTTGCATCGTACTAGCAAGCAATATTACATAAACTTATAAAAACAGTCCACTGTGCAATATGACAGTGTCAGGTTTGGCAGCAGGTGGTGGGGGGCGGTCCAGATAATGAATGTGAGAGGATAATGAATGGGTGGGCTACAATGCTGAGAAAAAGATGATTAGATGAGGCTGGGATGATTAGAATACTGGCAGAAAAGACCTGCAAGCAAATTCATTTGTTAGGTTAAATCAACAAAATTTCTAAGCATTCTTGTTCATACAAACCAACCACGACTTTCATTACAGCCATCTGTCTCCCAGAGGTATCTGTTGGGATTTATTACTGCTACTTACCAATCCATGTCAAAAAGAGTGGCTTAATACAAGATCCCTTTATTCCTTCTCATATGTCTATGTGGACCTCAACCAACTTGACTCAATCTCTGGTCTCAATGAAGGGTCAGCTAGGTGGCCTCGTAAGTTGCCCTGCTCCATGTGGTCTCCTCATCCAGCAAACTAGTCCAGGCTTCTTCTCGTCATGATTTAAGCTGGGAACCAGCATATTTTCTGGGCCAAAGTCAGTCCCGAGGCAAAGGCAGAATCAGAGGATGAAGTGGGACTGCAAAGCAACTTTGCGAAATGTATGAGCACAAGGACAGGTCGAGAATCAGAGCCATTTTTAACAATCACCAGAGACCGGCTTGCCAACCATCTTCCCACAGTCAATGTAATTTCTTATTTGATGATGCCATCTAGCCAGAATTCGGCTGAGACCAAAACGTAAGCAAAAAAGTTCCTCTGAGCCAGTTCTAAGAAGCCCCATTGTCTGGTTGCCAAGCTCACAGAAGACGAAAAACTTTTAGATTAGAAGCTGCATAGTTACTGAAACCAGGGTGGTTAGGGGCTGTGCAGTCTAGAACATAACAGTCCAATGGGACTACAGTCTGAAAAGAACAAATTATATTTGGCATTTTCTGGCTAAATAAGCACAGAATTCATTTTAGAAAGATTCCCACCCCAAATGATTTAAATTTGGTATAATAGTGTTTTCGTATCTAGTCAAAACTGGAAGAACATCCCCAAAGGATGTTTGCACGTGTAACCAAGGAACTATTGATTTATTAGCAGGTCGCACTCCAGATCTAGCTAGTTGCTCTTCCTGGCTTCTTATTAATGAGCCCTCTGTGTGTCCTGTTTTGAGGAAATCATGATGATGGGCTCCCCCCAGGAAATTTCTATGTTCCAGGAGGAGCCAAGGTGGGACAGCCTAACAGTGGATTTCCTATGCATCTCATGAAAAATAAATCTCTCTTCCAAGTGTTGGGAGATGGATTTGTCGACTGAAAAACTACACAACCTGAAAGATGAGAATTATGTTTTATTTGGCAGATTTTCTGAGGACTTCAAGGCCAGGTGACAGCCTCTCAGTTCTAAGGGACTTCTCCAAAGAGGTAAGGGAGGAGCCAGGATTTATAGGGGTTTTGGCAACAAAAACCAGGTAGTCAGAACATCA